CTCTCTCTCTCTCTCTCTCTCTCTCTCTCTCTCTCTCTCTCTCTCTCTCTCTCTCTCCCTCTCTCTCTCTCCCTCTCCCTCTCCCTCTCTCCCTCTCTCCCTCCCTCTCCCCCAGCCCAAGGACAGTCGGTACCTGAGGGGAAAGAGGCAGCATGTGTGTTAGGGGAAAGAGATGCTTATACTGGCGCTGATCTTGAAAGGGCCCGGCCGATCGATCGCATTAAGCTCCCTGCAAAAGAGAGAAATCAATACGGTTTTTAAAGGCAAAGCATGCATGTGGTGTATGCGTGTGGGCTTCATTGATACCGCCAGACGCGTTCAGAGAGAAGCTGCTCCTGAAAAAGAACGATCACATTTCGAGGTCAAGTGGTTTCATTTCCAATACTTATCTACTAAATCCTGACACTTGTGAGAGTCTTGAACATGAAAAAAAAAAACCCGTCTGTTTGTATGAAGTATCACGGTTTGGCTTCTCAAAACTGAAATACTGGCCAGTGTTTGAGGAGCACAAATGACAACCTGACAGGGAACATCAATAGTTTTCAGTTGGAGAAAGTTGTGCAGAAGCTACATCAGGATTAGAAAGAGAGAAAGAAGCCGAATGACCTGCGACTCTTTGAGAAAATGAATTGCTTGTTTAAAGACGCTGTAATGCAATCAGTCTTATAGTTAACATGAAATGCCTACGGAGGTTCGGCTCAAGGAGATGGAGTGGGAAGGAGGTCAACAAGAGCAAGAGAGAGAGAGAGCGAGAGAGAGCGCGAGAGCGAGAGCTATTAATTTCCATATGTCGTCAAAACAATGCTAATCAATATCAAAGACACCCACTCTTTAACACTTTCTACCTCTCTCATCCAAGTGATGTCTCTTTCTCTCCATCCATCTATTTCTGTCCCTCTTTGTACACACTCGTAGCAATAATTTACTCTTGAGTTGGCATCCGGGACAAGGAATGTGATCCAGCATAGAAGAAAACCCTACATAGAGCTGACGCAGTGTCCTCGGTGTACCTGCGCTTACACACAACACTAACTGCAGGGAGGAAGAAAGAAAGAAGAACTCAAATCTAAAATGGACGAAGAAGCCGAGTGAGGATGAGTAAATGATAGCGAGGATGGAAAGAAATTGGGCATGGCATTCACAAAAAGGTCCTACAGAAACACAATATTTCCAATTTGAGCCTGAGATTTGACTAAAGGACATAAAAATGAATAATGATAGGGAGCGATAACTAGGTATTAGAGATCGGAAACATGCAGGAATTCATGGAGAAATCTGAATCATCTTCATTGGCCAAGTAAATGTGCACATACATGGAATATGACTTTTTTGGATGCAAATGGACTGGATGATTAAGTACAGTGTTTACGTGGAAATATGTCTGTAAATGGTAAACAGCGAGAAGGATATGTAGGTTAGTAGGTTATGTTGAAAGAGAGTTGATGCTGTAGCAGTGAAGACTGAGAAAGAGAGGAAGTGCAGTAGGCTTTAGCTGCTAAAGCTTTCCGTTTCTAAAGGTTGGAAACCTGCAACCACCACTTATAACTGGAAGACATTTGAGAAAAGAAACCAGCATGTCCTCTAGTGGTCGCAGAGAGAAACACATCTACTGAGGCACTGTATGTTGAGGTTCATGTACTTTACTTATTTTATGACACTTAATGTTTCTCTTCATTTAAGAGGGAAATATAGTAATTTATAATATAGCATTTTTAAATTCACTGTATTTCACAGCTTTAGTTGCAAATTACGCAACAATTAGTTATGCATTTTGTAATTTTAAACCCTATCAGCTGAAACATTTAAATGATGCTAACACATGGGCATATTAGCAAATAATATAATAATTTAACACTCTAAAAAGGGGCCATTCTGTGAGTACTTTTGATGCTATTTTAAGTACAGTTTATAGTTTATCCTTCCATACTTAAATTTGATTGGGGGATATTTTTATACCTGTAATTTAGTAGGCTATTTATCAAATTGCAGTATTTCTGCATTTATTTAAGTAAAATATCCTAATACTTAATCCACAAGTGCTAAAAAGTAAATTACAACATTACAGCAGGACCTTTTAGAGAAAAAACAACTACTTGTTAATATGATATGAGCATGTACTGTGTTATTTAGAGCGGTGTGTTGCTATGAAATGCTGGCATTTATGGATGTTTTACTGATCCTAAGGATGCAGACTCAGTGTGACCAAAAGAACACCAGGTGTGTAAAACAGGACTACAGTTTATGATACAATCATTTGAAAATAAGCCCAGATAAATCCAAACAGGATCACAATGATGTCAATTCATTGTGAAACAGAAGAACTGCATTTATCCAAAAACACATTTAATACATTAGGAGAAGTGTTAAACCAGTAACCCTTTACAATCACGGTGTCACTTTTTAACCGCAAAACCCAAAATGGAAGACAACATAAAAGTTAACCTACACGAGTGTAAGGAAAACTGGTGGTGGGATTTATGCTGTCGTCTAGTTTTGACTTGACGTTTATATTTTTACTGTACAAACGTTGTTTTGCAGGGAAACATTGAAATATTACTTATTACAGTAACACTAAATCACATTTTTCTGTCAGCAATAGGTCGGCCTACAGATTACTTTGTTTTAAATATTACATAAATAATGATCTACTATACCAACTATGGTCATCTTCCAAAATGTGTTACAATATAATATTTAGTTAACTTTAGGCGGTAAACATAGCAAAGCATTTAGCTGCTAAAGAGCCACTTGTCTCCCTCAGTAATTGGTAGAGTCCAATGGTTAACAATTAGTTTGCTCAATGCAAAACCAGAAAAATGTAGATATTTTACAATTTGCCATAACCTAATGCACTATTTCACATTTCCCTCTCAGTTCAACACGTGATTATCCGACTGGGCACTTACCTTTTAAATGTGTGCTGTAGAAGACAAGCCACATCGTTCACAGTGACCGCAAGTGCTAACTTCAACCAGCTACAAGCAAACGATGAAGCAAACTCGCAGACGTTTGTGCAATCTGCTTTAATTAGCTAAGACTTTGGGCATGCGCATTGTGGTTTTCCCACACTCGGGGCACTTGGCATTGTGCAGCCAGGGCGTGGTGTTATCTCCACCTAGCGGCCACTACAGGAAGCGCAATTAAAACACAATTTTATATCCAGCCACTGAACTTTAATTGTAACATAATCATAAATGACAGTAAGTATTACAATACATTGATCCAGAATTATATCAATTTGTAAACTAGGCTACTGAGTACCACTAAAACCATCCTTTCGTCTGCTGCCAAGAGTTGGGGCTTTGCCCGACTTGCCTCAAATGACCAAATTAGTACCAAAATAAACAAGCAAATGGTATTTAAAGTAGATAAAAATAGCTCCAATTAAACTGGCTACATTCAAATAATTATAATTTAACAACATAATATATATAATGAATACAACACTCGGCACACTGAGTACTTTTACTCTAAGTACATATTCCTGATAAGACTTTACTTAGACCTATAAGTAAAATGCAGGACGTTTACTTGTAATGGAGTACTTTTAAATTGTGTTATTGAAGCTTTTATTTAAGGTAGTAACAGATATAGGCCTAATGAGGGGACCACTTTCTAATAAGGCCCCCATAAAAAAAATATTGAAGCAATGGCTTTATTCGCGTGGTTATCATTTTTGCAAGCTTTTGGTTTGCCAGGTTTTGAAAGAAAAAGCATTGTCCTTATTAGGACTCTTTAGGTCATCAGGGAAACCCATCAATACTATTTTTACGTGAGTTTGAGGTACTTTCCTTGAGTACTTTCCTTTTCTGCTTCTTAATACTTCTACTCCACTACATTTCAGAGTAAAATATTGGAGTCTACTTTTACTCCACGCCTTCGCAGCTTTGTTAATGGGTGTGCAGATGTTTTGAAAAATAAAAATCTATGACCATTTCTTTATTATTTATGACTATAATAAATTTAAATGCAGCTTATATTAATGCATCAGTAACAATACAGTTACACAGAACGTTTTTTCTGCTCCACAATGAGTACCTTTTATTTTTATCCTTCAAGCACTTTTTGGTGACAATACTAAGATACTTTTGCTGATATAAGAGTTTTTAATATAATAGACTTCGACTGCTTTTATCTGACTTTTGTTTTTATTTCTGTTTTTCACACCCTGACAAACAAAAATGTTATGTAAAAAAACTGATATATAAGGCATCGGTAAATAATCTACCAACCTTTAGTAGAGGAATTAGTTACAACATATACATCTTTAATAAAGGGTGCCTTAGCAAGTTGAAAAAAGGGACATACAGATCTCACTATTGCCACACAGTCAACCCTTTGACAAGAGCCTCAGAGAGCAACAATAAAGGATAAACACGAGTATTATCTTACACCAGATGCCATCATAGGATAGTGAAATTATCACTGTGATTTGGAGGGATGAACAAAAGAAACCAACTCAGCTGTTTACCTTGACTGCCCATATTTGGGTCGGGCGGAGAGTCGCTCTCGCGGGGGGGGGGGGGGAGCCAGTCAGTGCTTGCTCACGGCTCCGAGTAGAGGAAGTGAGTCATACTGACGGTAAAATGTTACGTCTCCGTTGCAGCAGCATCGCGAGCTGAGCCGAGAACAAGGAAGCAACATGTGCTGCTGACCATAATAACGCCAACACACCAGCACAGACAGCCACGAGACGAGACAAGGAGACGAGGACGCTCAACGACTGCAGAGTATTCTCAGACTGTGAACACTTATTATCGTGAGTACCACTATGTTTAATAACTTTGATGTTTATTGTTTAATTGGAAAACGTAATTTGCTGTGATTGTAACCTATTTTAAATAACTTGTCGCTGTCGTGTTTGTTGCATTGTTAACAACGACTTCGACGTCAGTTATCATTTTAAGTATTTCATGCCTCGCTCGGTGTATTTTTAATGATTCATTTTGGGTTTTACTCCTTATTACGGGTTTGTTCCCTACTTTTTTCTACTTTTTCTAAATTTTTTCTATCTAGGGTTATGATATTCTTACCATTTCAAATTAGGACGTTTTAAATAGATATGCTTCAATGCTATATTATCTTATACATTTAGAGTAACTGGATAATGTAGGCAACCTTCTCTACCGAAATTATACCCGTCGGGGTGTTTCTACTGATTTCCACTCGGGGGGTTTCCGCGCTGTCAGAAACCCCAAAAGCGTTATTTCCAGCATGTAGCAGGAAGTTTCCTTTATCGCAGCAGAAAGAAACAGAGAATACATTATCTGGCGTTTGATTTTTGTTTTTCTCCTTTTTCTGGACGTAATGGCCATCCATGAGCAGACACACGTGTCACACACACACACACACACACACACGCACACAAAGTGTGTCCCCTCCTTGGATCACACAGAGTTGTGCCTTCACTGCTTTGTTTAGTCTCCTTTGTTTCACGCAGAGGCAAGAACAAGTTTTGTCGTCACTCAAAGTCAATACAGACGAAACAATGCTAAAAGGTGAAACATCTGCACCTGCAAGTCTCAATTTTCAACAGGCTGTCAATGTGACATGCTGTCAAGCCTAATAAACATAACCAATATGACGTTATGGTACGCTAAACACACACTGAGCACAGCAACAATGCTGCCGAGTGACAAAAGAAAGGCCCTCAATCAAACATCTAAACACACAGTTTGTATATTATCAGCAAGGCGCGGTTATGTTTGTGTATCTTGGACCAAGTCTGTTGCATGTCAGGGTTCTACCACTTTATTCTCCTTATCCACAGCGAGGGTCAAAGGATAGAGTGTACAGTACATATTGTAAAGCCCCTTCAGTCAGATTTGTGATAATGGGCTTTACAAATAATATTGACTTGACTCACGCAAACGGGTCAAGTTGTTGTCTTCACACGTAAAATCAAAACCCTATCAGCAGAGTCTGTGATAGCGGCAGCAGGTCACTGTTCAGTAAACAGACGCACAGTAAACATGGTGGGCAGACTGCTCGTCATGGCTGGGAACTTCTTTTTTTTTTTTTTTTTTTTTTAAGGGCATCACTGAATCTCTGATTATATCAAACAGTTGACACGCATAGGTGAAGTAATCAGAGAAGAAGTCAAACACCATCAGCGGATGTTATTAAGTTCCTCAAGTATCTAGAAACATGCATCATTAATTTGGTGTGACACAAGCGAGTTGAAAGCATGACTCATATTGGTCGTCTTTAATAGAACACAATATAGTGAATCAGTAGTGAAATGTGGGATGTTGCAATGAACACTCAAATATTTACTGTATTTGTTAGTCCTCTGTGGCAGTGGAGTATCTTTTTTTATTTTACTGTTTGGACGAAACAAGCTGGTTTGATATTTTAAACTTCGGTTTAAGAAATTGTGTCATTTTCACTATTTTATAAAATTGTATCGGCAAGAAGAGCCATATTCAGTGCAAACGTTTTGAGCTTGAACGTCCTCTAAACCAGTGGTTCTCAACTGGTCTGGCTGCGGGACCCACCATCACCCCTTAATGACAAGCCGCGACCCACTACCCAAATTATATATGTAGTAGTAACGTATCTGTGTAGTAAACAACTGCCAAATCAAATAAAGAAAGTACACATCAAATATTATTCTCATTTTCCAAATGTAACTGGATGGATTATAAATAATGCATAGAATAAATGAATAAATGTTCTTCTCATTTCAAATAAAATAACGGCTGGATTAAAAAATAAATTTCGTAACGAAATTAATTTTCGAAAAATTAATTTCACTGAAATGCCCTGCAGCTTTAAATTCAGTTCATTCAGGGTGAAGTGAAAAGGCCACAATATTATATTTTTCTCATCTTCTAAAAAGAGAATTTAGTGTTGGAAGAATTCACCTATATGACTCTGGTCTCTCTGGCCAATTTTCTCTTTTGGAAATCATCCTATGATTTGACTTTCACAAGTCAACAGTCCTGCTCTGCTCTCTATAACCTTGTCTCTCCCCCCTGTGTCAGGGTGTGTGTACATCTCACTCAAGTCAGGAAACTCGTCAGAATATTTGATTGGATGAGCTGCATCACCTGATGTGATTCACAACGCATTGGTCGGTGTTTTTCCTGCACCGCTGAAAAAGCGCCGTAAATGCTGGAATAATTCCGCTGCATAAAAAATGCCCTTCAAAATAAAATCTTTTTTTTTTTTTTGTCAGTCAAAGGCCCGCGACCCCCTTTTGGGTCGCGACCCACCAGTTGAGAATCACTGCTCTAAACCCCTCAAACACTTTGAGACGACTACTCGGCACTCTGTCCGCCTAAACACCGTATCTGTTTTAAATGCCTGAGGCCTCTTTAACGCGACATTCAAACAAACTATGACTACAAGTACAAGGCTGCTTGGACCAACAAGGTTAACATTCTTGAAAGTTGCAGCAGAAATCTGAAACTTGAAAACCTACTAGAAAAACCTGTGTTTGTGTGTGTGATTGTCAGACAAAGTGTCTGCAGGTCAGCACGTTGTAAAATGAATAACCTTTTGCTGGTGGAGACTATTGAATGAACATATTTAGTTGCTGAGTGATTGACAGCAAACACAGAGTTATATAAAGTAGAGAAGCTGCAACAACAACAGCCTGAAGAATACATGCTATATGACCCTGTTCACCCTGCAGACTAATAACTGACTGGAACATCTATAACATTTGAGGATCATAGCAAAACATATTTGTTAGGGACTTATGTTACTACTGCTTGTGTTTGTTGTGTCACAGGCTCATCACTACGCCTAAGTGGAGGCTGTGGCTACTTTCACCAGGGCAAATAATAATTTTCTCTCACACCATATTATAAAGGCTGAAGCAACAGTGGTGTGTTTCAAGCCACAATAACAAATTACTCTCTGCACCTCAAAGTTCAAGGCACGACTTTCTTGTCATCGGCAGGATGTTGCCACGCTGCTCCGGTGCGGCTGCACAGTTTGAATTGCCTTGGCCTTTGTAGAGCACACTCTTCGCTCTGGTCAGGCTGACATTGGCACCCAACCCAAACAGACACGCTATCAGAGGACAAACAGCACAGTGAGCTCATTGGATTTGCATTCAAATAAAATACTTCATGTTGACAAAGCAGCGCTAGTTTGCATCTTGTTTGCATATACAAAGTCGAGCCTTTTGTCAACACAGAGCCATGTCCATAGCTGTGAAATGCCAGGCACTCTTTTACACCCACTTCACACAGAGGTTCTCTGGGGGTAATAAAAACAGGCTCGGGGGCAACCACGCAGGAGTGCGCTGTTACCACTGCAACTGAAGTTCCTGCCCCCTCACTACTTATTACAAAGCCTCATACTCACGTACAGACACATTTCTTTGCAACCTCATCATTTTTGAATCTTCTGTTCCTGCAGTCACCATGAAAAGAGAGGTGGAGGCTGGAGTGAACTTCCTCAAAAGCCTTGCTGTAGCACGTGGCAAGCTCAGTGAATCCAAAGCAGAATTGTTTGCCGAGAAGCTACAGAAACTTTTATGCAACAAATATGATGACCACTGGTACCCTGACTGTCCCAGCAAAGGCCAGGCATACAGGTAATTACACAATTGTCCCTGAATGTATATGTTTTTTGCCTCTGCAAAGATAGAATTACGTTCTTATTATAAGCTGAGAACACTGTATTACAGGGGAGCAGATCCACAAGAAAACACAGAATCTTTAACATTGACTCCTTCACAGATGTATCCGTATAAATAACGGAGTGCCCTGTGATGATGTGATCCTGAAGGCATGTGAGGAGAGTGAGCTCACACCCAGTGAACTCTGCTTTCCACGTGAGATCACACTGTGGATCGACCCACTGGAGGTGTGTGCAAGGTGAGTCACTGGCTGGCCTGCTGAGGCATAGAGAGACCGACTGACACACAGACACACTTAAACAACGAAGAGGCATTTCTCCTGATGAATCATCGTCATGATGCATAAAATGTGGGAAGTAAAAATGTGTTGTTTTTTTTTTTTAAATAATCTACTCCCTCTTCACAGATCTGCAGAGAACGGCCGGCCATTCAGAGTAGCCTGTTTCGAAGAGGAAGGTGTTCAGGGAAAACAGGCGGACTCCTCGGTGGGCTTGGTAAATCTGGACACATCCGATTACCACTCTGCTACCTCTTCGGATTGTAGTTCCACTGCGTCGAGTGACACAGAGGAGGAGGCAAAAGATGGCGAGATGGCGGGAGAGCAAAAAAAAGAAGGGAAGGAGGTCATCAAGAAGGATGCAGCAGAAGGCGACACCTACACGATAGCGATGGTTCCCAGGATTCGGAAGCGGCCCGGGGAAGGACCAAATATGATTAAATACATCAGAAATATGGTAAATTTGATCAGTTTTTGGACCATCTGTTGGTAGCTCACAATTAAGGGATAAGGCAGGTGATAATCTATATTTTTCTCACTATCAAGAAAAATCCCACTGAAATAAAAAAAAGATGCAAAGCCGGATACAGTTCGTCCGTGCCATAGAGCTTCATTGTTGTCCAAAAACCATTCAACTATTTTAGACCTATTGTGCGATGAAATGTTTTATACACAACTACAGTGAATTGACAATCTAGTACTGAATCATTCAACATACCCTTAACGTTCTGAATTTATGTCTATTTTGTGTGTCAGTCGTAAGCTTATTACTACAGATATGAGCTCATGTCCATTTGACACATTTTCAGTATTGCATGTTGTCGAAAGGAAAGGTCCACTGATTCCTCCCATATGGACAAAGTGTGTTTCACACGCATGCTGGAAACTCTCCACCATCCCTTCTAATCGCTTGTGCTCCTTCCAATCCGTAGCTCCCTGCCAGCCTCCAGTACTTCTACCACCAGGCACCAGTTTGGCCTCAGTACAAGAAGGGCGCTCCAGTGTTTCTCAATGCAGTGTGCGCGCCTCCGCCGCCTCCACCTCCGCTCCATCAGGTATTTGGCTACTACATCTTGCCGCAGCCATCTCCTCAGTTCATTCTGCCTCAAGCCACCCTGCAGCCGTGGGGAGCTGTGAAGGGTTAGACCGTCCAGGAACTGTGGGGTCCAGGTGGATGAAGCATTACAAGCTCCTTCAACTGAGCCATGGCGTGTTAATTCTCTGAGTTTAGCTAACCTTGGGCCAAAAAAAAAAATAACTTTTTAAAAACTGTATAGCTCGAAGTTATTTGCTGTACAACCTGTAATGATTCCTCTTTCCTTTTCACTTCTGGTGACTTGTAATTTATGGGTGGTACTCTGCACGGAGATGCCACTGAACTGAAATGTCTGCATTGGGAAAAAAAATCTTTTACGTACTGTAAACATTTAGAATGACTTCAAACTCTGGGTGCTCGGACTAACTCAGGACATCTCGGCAATATACTTCACACCAAATAGTTGTCTTTTCCGGTGTTGTTTCTTTTATTATGTAATTTCTCTGACCGAATATGGTCCAAAGTGTGTTCGTCACATATAATCAATGTAAAATGTGATTCAGGGGTTTAATCTATTAGCAAGAGTGACAACATCTGTATTTTAAGAATAATATTTTTGCGAAACTGCTTGTAAATAATACAGAACTCGGACACCATAGATGGATGCACATTTTCTAATCTCACTGTCTTTTTGTTGTAATTTATTTGGCCACCAGTGGATGGCACTCAACCGATAGCTAACACATGAAATTGTATATTTTTGTATGAACAGTGGCTGCTGTATTTTTACAAATCAAACCCAAACATGATTTTAAATAGCTTAAACTATCTCTGCAACTAGTACAATGTATTTTCAAGTGTCTCTGTTGTATGGCCTGCTTACTGCTGTGTTTTTAAAGTTTTTCTTTGCTATGGAGATCTGCTACAGCTATATACATCCTGAATAGTTTTCCCCCACTGACTCGTATATACTGTGATTTTCATCTTTAATTATATTGATGCATATTTATTTAATGTCCATGCAACCTTGAAACGCATGTGTTTGTAAGCATTGTTTTGCTTTAACCTTTTGCATTAGCCATTTACCTTATTAATGCAGCACATTAAATCCACTCATACCTGAAATCATACATGTTTTTTTTGCTGATTTCTATAATCAACACGTTTCAGTAGAGGTTTTGGCACCGTTTATATCGTTTTCTCTCATAGAAACAGCTTGACTTGGTCTAGAAAACACCTGTCAGTCTAAATACACTCCACTGAATGTCACTCAGAGTTGTAAGGATCATCATTACCGTCAGCACGACCTGCAGGATGCTGCAGCGGAAGGACTCCTGTGCTGGATGAGTCATTAAGCCCAAGGTCATGACGCTGTTCCTCCTTAAACAGGCCTCGTGAAGAGGCTGAGGGGCAAACTATTTAGACAATTATGTAGTTAAGATAAGAGATATATGTGTAGATATAAATAAGAGAAAATAGCTGGGAAACAAAATGACTGGAGAGAGTGAAGGCCAGGACGTTTATGAGTCGGTGCCAGGAAACCTTGATGTTTCACAACAAGTCAAAGAATGTAGGTACTCAACCACGAGATGTCACTCTACAGCTGCTGGTGAACTCGTGCTCACCACTGTTACAGCGCGTTAACAACACACACACACACACACACACACACACACACACACACACACACGTATATAAACATGTAGAATAAGGCATCTTGCGCTTTTTATAGTCTCTCATTTTTGCTAAGAAAAAGAAAGACACGATTGTGGTTTGTTCCGCGAAAAATAAAATCGGCTGCAAAACATATTTTGTTCTTGTGACAACTTGTCCAAAGGAGTTTTTTTAGGCTACTTTTCTGAGAGAGCATCGCGTAACATTCTCTCTCTCTCTCACACACACACACCCAAATAATTAGTTTGAGTCAGACTGACTCACACACTTAAAATGATAACGCGTGCTAACAAGAGTATCCTTCATCGCTCACTCCAGTGTGCATCAGTAGCTACGCGTAACCACGCCGCGCAGGTTGGTGTTGAGGTGAGGGTGTGTTAGAAGCCAAGTGTTTTGGTTAATCACGCTACTTCGATGAGCGACAAACGAGAGAAGGGCCCGGTACACAGTGCGCCCATCGGAATATGCCCTCCCCAACTCGGGAGGAAAGCAAAGGAGAGACTGGACAGGCACAGGACGGAGCAACGGACTGCGACGACGGGGAGAGAGGGACAGGCGGCCGTCTCGTGTGCGCTCTGGAGATGGAGATGACAAACCGCAGCCTGCACGGCGACTCCAAAGTGAATTGTGTGAATTGCGATGGCTTGGTCAACCGAAACGGCGGGGACTCGGCAGAAGTGTCCGTGCCGCTGTCACTCCCCGGGAAGCGGACAGCTCACATGGAGGGAGACGAACTCCACAGACTGCGAGACAGAAAGTTTTTATTGGAGGACAGAAAGCGCCTTTGCGCGTTGTCTTTGGGGACTGCTCTGCTCGGGATACTGCTCATGATAATCCACTCCGAGATATGTCTCTACGTTTATAAACCGGTAGGTTTAAGAAATACACTATCTTTTAAACATGTAAGAATTGACTGCATATTCAAATCAAATAATTCGATTAGAAATGTTTGAAATGTGACACTTTGGTTTTGTTGGCACTCGATCCTTAGAGCATGTTAACCATCTCGGTTTCCACTGCAACAGTCTCACAAATCAAATCTAAACGTCAGCTATATCGCACTTTTACAAGAGAAGTATTTAACGTAAAGCATCCACCTGCATCTTCAAAGTTGGAACAATAAATAACACCACCTAAATTGACTTTGTCTTGGCAGCTGGTCGAGACACCTCAGTGTTGGCTATTGAACGCATCATAAAATGATAACATAATGAACAAATGTATTAATGTCTTGCTTTTGTCAGCATCATGCAGTGGAACTACAGTTAACAACCTGCCTGCTGCTGTGTGGTTGCACCTCAACTCTTCTTCAACTCCTTGTTAGAACTGCTCTAACTATAGTTTTTCACTTAGACTATTATAAAACTGATACAAACAAATGAATACAAACCATGTTATCATGACATATTTCAGTAACTAAATTGATCATAACCTGTGCAGAAAAACACCATTACACAACTGGCTTTATTTGTTGTAATAACAACGGTCTTGATTAGCTCACAGCCCAAGCCTCATGCAGCACAACCTGCACCTGGGCTTTGAACCCCCTGACCTATACTGATTAGTTAACACATTTCCAGACACTCTATTTAGAAGCACAGCCTCATGACATTAACATGCAGATCTCAGTGGATAACAATGCCAGGCCAGACAATCAACAAATTATTAACTCCCCCTAACTTCCTACAGTGCACGCCAGTTCGACATGTGGAAAAAACGCTCTCATGCACGCAGCAAAAAACATCAGACCACCTCCATGCTGTGAAGTCAGTGATTGATTACAGTGTCCGAGAGCCCCCCCATTTCTAACTCACATCAGCTACAATCTTTTTGAGAAACCTATATGGAATCATGGAGAGTTGGGCTCGCAAAAGCATGGCCGTGAAAATAACGGTGTTGGCACTAATATGACATTACAATTCTAATACGAACCAAGAACAGGTGTTGTCTGTCGACTCCTAACAACAGGCATCGGCTTCTGTACCGTGGAAAAGCTGATGCACTGGAAAAGTGTTCTTCGCCGCAGTTAAAGCATATTATTTTGGAGAGGCTGCATTGCTGATTTAGCCATAGCTTATATAACCATTTTCAACTTCATGTGATGTACAAGTCATGTAGTGTGAGCTGTGACGTCTTCCTCCCCTCTGGACTGACATGACTTTTGGTCACATAGCGTTTGTCTAATCTACACAATACAGAGTGGCCGGTAGCACACACAAAGCCATTTCTAAGTATACTGCAGGGTATTTTGGATCTGCCTACTTAGACCTGTAAGCTAATGTCATTCTACAAAGTTATATTTTAAGCGTACCTTTTCATGATTATATGCATGAGAAACAGGGCTATTTATGGAATGTTTTTCCACATTTCACCTCTTTCCCTACCGCAAGATTGCTCGCAGTACTTCAGGCTATCTTTCCACATTATTTAGTGTGTAATTAGAGTGTTTGCATGGCCAGTATAGAAAGTCTCTGTGTCTTGAGTTGGGCTGTGCTAGAACTAGGAGTGTGCACTTTGACTTAATTGCAACCCTGTATCCTCTTTTCTGCAACTCTTTGATGACTTTCCTGGAATGACTTTACAACCCATTCAATATCCACATAATGAGGCTGAAAAATGTTGCATGATGTCCAGTATTTAAAAAAAGGCTTGGATAACTTTGGTGGGCTCTATTAGCTCTGGTTCTCAGCCATGTGTGATTATATAACAGCAGGTTTGCGGTCCAAAAAGTTAAGCATGTTTTGGCAAAACCAAGTTTGACCTCGTTCATTTCAGATTTAATCAGAAATATCTGACATCTTAAATTGCTAAGATTTATTTTCATGCAATGATTTTCTCACATATAACACATTTTTTTACCACCTCTCTTAGCACTGATACAATATTACAGCTTACGCAATCACAACAAACATACATGCTACCTTCTTTGTAATATACGTATATGCTCTCTTAGCGGGTAAATTATTTTTAAATATCACAAAGTTTGTAAAATAAACAAACATATGGTCAAGTTTGACCTGTTCGGGTTGACTGGCAGCTCAACATGTTTTTGTTTTGTATCAGTTGCTTGCATCATTTTCTGACTGCACATCACTTCCCTTTTTCAGCTGTTTGATAAGCCCGGCTTTCTCCTGTTATGATTTTAAAAGTTGATTATTTTGCTGTTGGAAAGCAACATCTGGCCAGGGCCAAGGGCGAATTTATAGTACCGATGTATAATGGACAACATTTTCCTTGCGTTTGAGCTACGACTCATTCCTTTTACCAGCCAATCAATTGTTAAAATTTGCACTAAAGCCATGCAATTACCTAAAAATAATGCAGCAAACAAACCCCCAAAAAATATTTTCACTCATTTTTTTTATTTGACAGACTGAGAGTCCCATGGACAGGGATGGAAAACCTGTTTTACAGGGTGCAGTGAAGTGGTATCCTACTCCCTTGTGGTCTTAGAGGGCGAGTGATCTGCAGGGTTTTGCACCTGCACCTTGCTAAACATCACTTCCCTGCTTTCACCGAAATTTCGCTGACATTTTCTGATGCAGTGTTTGACTGGGTCACTCTTACTGTAATAATAACGAAAATGTGTCCATATGGTGTCACCCAGCAGTGATTATGTAGTCACCGGGTAGCTTCACAGTGAGATCACCGTGTGCAGTTTTGGTTGGTATTAACTAAACTTCCAAATGTCTCCTTTCCCATGACTGTCCCACTATGCCAGTTTAATATTCTTGTAGGATATTATTTGTATCCTCAAGTTTCAGGATGCGTGTAGTTCCAGGAGTGACCTACAGCACAAGAATCTACATGATTCCTAACAAAACCACAACGACTAACAAACCAAATTAGAAAACGTAAGTCAGATGTATGTAGTATTTATTTGGCAAGTATTTATTTGTTACAGTATATACAAACTAGACCACCATCTTTTGCACTGAATTCAGTGTTTTATCATGGTGGCTCGGTGTCCGTCCAAGACTATGAGAAACAATCTTTGTTATTAACAACCTAATCTGGTTAACCCAGGTTCATCGGACGGGAAATGACTGCTTCCATTATGAAAACGTTACAAAAACAATTTTACAAACTCAGGAAGAAACATGTTGTTGAACTCTCTGTTATGGAATGTGGTGAAGTGTTGAGCTTTTGTGGGGTCTTCTAATTAGCCCTGGACGAAATACAGACGTGAAGTGGATGCTACAGGAGAAACTGTGGAAAACGGCTTACCTTGCCAATGGACGTCACACCATACCAACTACAAGCTCAAGTTTCCTCAAGTTTGAAAGTTTGTAATTATCTTTTTATCCGTAAACCACATTAAACTGCACTTTCCGTTAAAAACTTCAATTGACGTATCAGTTGCACGGAGATGCATGAATGAAAGGTAAAGGTGCTCTTTTACCTGTTAAGACAGAGGTGGTGTAGCAGAAGCCATATGCTCGTCGTTCTTAATT